AGTATTAAAGCCGAAGAGCAGCACACACACGTGAAAAGGACCTGATGAACATGTAGTGGGGGAGTGTAGCTTACATTCAGTAATATTAGTTCTAGATGGCAGAGGGCACGGCCGCTCAGTCGCCTTAGGCGCTGGATTCGCTGTGCACTATTGCGTTCCGTTGGGAAGACAGAAACCTAAGATCGTGGGTTCAAATCCCGTTTAGCCCCGAGTGTTAGGATAGTCAGCACCATACCCTTGCTTGTGTTTAACCAAAGCGGTAAACGTCCGACACCTGCATCATTTCGGGCTTTCCTCTCATATGTATAACACTGGAATACTGTTGAAAGCGGCGGTAAACCCAACTCACTCAGTTTAGATAACAACATTTGTCGCTTCTGAAGAAAAACGTATTATGTGATTTTGGATATTTCCAACTGTTTTTTTTTATATTCATTATAATTTTGGACTGCCAAATTGTTGTACCTTATATGAACCTCATATGGCGGTATCTACTCTGTTCTGTGATTCTACAGTTTCACATGATAACCTCTTATTATCCTCATCACCTGTTTCAAGTGTGCATGATGCTAGTCAGTCTCTCTCGCCTCTCTAGTAGGGTTGTAAGGTTATACAAGTTTATATTTTTTTTAATTTACTTCCTACCTCCCGGCCCACCGTAATATAGTGACTTTCATGTCTACGTGAACACACTTCTAATGGTGTCCTTTTTAGATTCATACCTGTATACGGCACAATTACCCATTACACATCCAAACGTTGCTGACGGACTTGAAAATATTTTGAAGACATGTTCTGTCCGAAAATCTTTCCGAAACATTCGACTACGTGTTACTAAGAACTTATAATAACTGTTTGTTAATGATCCTCAACTGAATAAGTTACACTTGCATCTGAATGTTTTAAAACATTAACACAATTTTGTCATCTGCCTTTGTTGAAGGACAAAGAAACGAACTCAGTCGTTTGCTGTAAGGAGACATTTGTATTGCACGCGTATAATTGGTCGAGTCTCATTTTGTACAGGGAACACATATTTGTTTCTATTTCTAAGAGAGATCAAATAATCCATCGTCGTTTTCCTTACATTCCCTCACCCCTCTGTCAAAACATATTTAACATGCATGTAGCAGACATGCTTTACTACAGACAAACGTGTGCAGAACTTATCCCCGATCGGAACCTTTTGTTTGCCCGTAAGGAACAAATATCAAACTACGGATTATGACCCTTCGTCAGACAGCACGGTACTCTTTGTCGTGAGTTTCACGAGAAGGTTAATGTCTTCAATATGCGCAACTTTGGATTTCCTCCAACATTAAGCTGATCCCCCGTGATATGACACAAATACATCCACATGAACAGTAAGTTAAAAACGTCGAAAACCCTATCTCACACACGAGAGAACCAACAGCATCTTACCCACGTGTACTGAGTCAGGTGAGGATAAGCCTAAATTTATTTCAAGGAGTCCAGCTTGCAAACAGGACCATCTCTATTTCAATGGGGCCCTATTCCAATTACATACGCAATAGTGCAAACTGTCGTTCGATTCAACTTTGCTCAAAGCTATTCGAGTGAAGCCAAACAGCTGTCAAATGCACTGCCTTATTGTCACTTGTTAGGCCGTCAGATCCCACTTTCGCCGAGTATTTATTTTAGATACCTGTCATTGAAATGGCTTTGATTTAAATTGCCCTCCTACAGCGACCGAAGTCTGCCAAAATGTCACCCCCAGTTCTATTCGCCAGGCTTTTGGTCTCCTCCACATCGTCTGTAATTGTCAAGGTGCAGTTGTGTTTGGTTTTTAAGTGTCGCAGCCTTCTTTCAATTCAGCTTCATGAAAAATTGTTTGAAGAAATTAAAGTTAACAAACAAACATATTAAAGTTTCAATTAGATGTGTGATATGGAGTTACGAAATAATGTTTTATAACAATCGACTTACAGCAAGGGTCATTTCAATGAACGAATTAGAAATCCATAAACAATATTGTACGTCAGTAACTACATGATAATATGTGTAACACAGTAAGTCTGTTACTTGTCGATTTTCAATATTATCGTCTCAATGATAATTGTAAGTTATTAAATGTTTCTCTGGATGACCCTGTCGATGGTCTCGAATCGTCTGCACCTGGATTTACTTACGCAATTGCACATGCTCAGCCATTTATACTCATGATTTCATACAAAAAGATTCAAATGACAAGAACGAGTGGTCAAAATTTAAAGCTTGTGAAGTGATTCGATGTGTTTGCAAGGTCTCCTTCATTCTACAAATGTATTCGACAGAGGAATGGGCATAATGGTTACATAAGTGGAATAAGAACGTTAAGATTTGTAGGGATATACTTGTACTTCAAAAGTGGCAAACACATGTTAAACAAATAATTATTATATAATTTTCGATTAACGGAACCCCATATTATCTACTGGATCAATTCTTTTAATTTAATTAGAAGCAGGAAATATACTTTAACCCGTTTAGAGTACTTAACATTACACTCTGGATGGTTGATTTCCTCTCAATGCAATCCTGACTAGAATGATTACACAATATCATCCTATAGCTAGCTCCCATAAACCACACACTCTTGGAGTTAAGATGCATATTTATTTACATAACTAGTCCTGTTTATGTATTTTCTCAAGTTGTCCACAGAACTGGCTTATTCTCTTTGGGGGCACGGGTGGCCCAGTCGTCTAAGGCGCCGCGATCCGTTGTGCCCAGTTGCGTCCCTTGGGCACGCCAGAAACCTATGATTGTGGGTTCGAATCCCGGTTCGCCCCGATTATGTTTCCAGGTTTGTCAGAACCATACCCGTGCTCGTGGATTTCACCGAAGTGGTAGACCTGCATGACTTCGGGCTTTCCTCCCACATTAAGCTGACATGTCGTGACATGACTGGAATAATGTTAAAAGCGGCGTTAAACCCAACTCACTCACTCACATATTCTCTGTTGCTAATAGAGCAAACTACGTCAAAGTGGGAAGGTTCCATCAATGATAGCATATAATCTCCCGATTTGCCTACAGTCGACAAATCAGCAGACCAAAAAGGCTGCAAGTAAACAGGCATAAAGAGTGGACCCCTTATGTCAATCCCACGCATATCTCCGTCTTCCCAGTTGAGATGGGACAAAACATCGAAGTGTTGTCATTCGCTTAATTGCGCCCTACGTGTGCCCAGTGGATGTCTAGTGACGTCAAATACCAAACGTAACATGCCTGCAGGTTCTACCTGTCTGTCACGATTTACCCAAGAAACCTGGATGTGCGTAACGGAATCGTAAATATAAAACGTCAACGCCTGAGAATAACTGTCTCGATCATCCGCCGAAACCGATTCTATTGGGCGCTAAAGGCAAAATAGAGGTGAACATTATATGAAGGGATCACGGAAAATCAGTGATGACACCAGGTGTTAGCGAAAGGTGTAACACCGTCAATAACGTTGCATCGAACAGGCACTTAGTATTATATCACCAACTGACTTCTGTCCACATGTTGGACAGGTGGGCATATGGTTTGGTTCTTTAAAGGGGCAAAACGACTGAAGGCTGTTCTTAGCGCCCTCCATGACGACGTTCCTGGAATATTGATAAAAGAAGCGCAAAATTCACTCACTCATTCATCAACTCATGACATTGAAATTTCCTTAGTGCTTCTATTACACGTCACTGATAAAATGCCGCGAATCTACTTAAAGATCGCCCTGTCGGAGGTATTGATTATAACACCAACCACATGTACGAATATTCATAAAGGTTACATACCGTGAGAGGATTATAACAGGCATTGCTGATCAACGATACCATCAAAGAAGACACATGTATCTTAGCGACAGCTTACTTATGTTTATTTTGTTTCAGAGAGTCTGCTAGACTTTAAGAGATTATTTACTCATTATTCTCGCACTGCTGCCAAGCACATCATATTATTGATATTATTGATATTCTTTCCCCACTAAGTAGCTAACAATATAATACCGCGATGTAACTGAAATACTGTTCAAAGCGGCGTTATACCAAACTTATATAACTGACTTGGATTATCAACTACATCTAAAGTGAAAATTTACCTTACATGCAGCAAAGATAAAAAAATACGTATACACATTCTTCACTACCCGCCTGTAAATCCGGCGCAAGTTGGTGTGAGGTGAGGTGAAATGGGGTTTAACGTCGCGTCGAAGATTATTGCACTTATATAGCGACGTGCATGTACGTGTGTGTGTTTGTGTGGCTGTTTGTACTAGTCCGGACTGATGCCGATTTATAGTGCAAGCTCACTGAGATACCATGCCGCAGTTTAACATGATCATGAATACCCCACTCAGACACAGTATACTGATTTCGAGCCGACCAGTCCTTGTTTTAGCCCATTTAATGCCGAGCGCCAGACAGCGTAACAACAAGTACCATCTTTTAACGTCTTTTGGTATGACGCGGCCGGTGATCGAACGCAGGGCCTTCCCCTCTCCGGGCGGACGCTCTACCACTAGACCACGGAGGCGGTCGGCGCAAGTTGGATACAAAATAATTATCACTTATCGCCACTTGCATCAGTTATAGGAAACTAAAATATATGCACTTTCTTTCTCCCTGATTACGGAAACCATTTTGGTCCATTTGTTGGTTTTGTTGGTTTGTTTTTTCGATACTATCAAGGATGATTATCTTGAAATTTCAACTTAGTATCTTGACATTTCAAGATCATTAACCTTCAAATTTCAACTTATGTATCTTCAAATTTCAACTTAGCATCTTGACATTTAAACATAACTTCTTGAAATTTCAAGAAAAAAAGAAAACAAACAAATGGCCCTAAAAGGCTTCCGTACCCTGATAATTAGATTAAAATACTTTAGGGCTATTGTACTAATCATCGCCTGAGGAACTGCGAAAATATTCTTAGGGAACTTACATGTATGTCTTCAAAAAAGAGAATTAATCATTTATTAATAATATGTATCAGTTTGTGATTTTCTGTTTCAGAACACGGTGCGAATGACCTATTACGACAACGATACAACAGTGATGGTGATTGTATGTGGCGACACCGGCGTACAGAGTGACGACAGACTTATTTTTTGTGTGTACCAGTTCATCGCCATGTTCGCCGCACCCACACTTATAATGGTGTTCTGCTATATGTTCGTCATCCATGTGTTGTGGATTAGCTCTCGGCAGCTGCTCAACTTGACTACACCTATGTCAGAGAGGTATTTAAGTGCTCCTGGTTGAGATAGAAAATATTTATTTGGTCGTTTGTGAGTTTATTTTAGAAGATAATTGTACAATCATGACTTAGAACTTGTACCTATCCCCTACTAGGAGTGTACCTATCCCGTGTCCGTGCTGATCTCTTGTAAATGACGTGGTCCAAATTGTCCTCATGTTATAGTTATTGGGAATCTTAAACCGGGAAAATTGCAGATGCCCTGGTGTGTTGGAGGGATATGTGGCTGATGGTGATGAACGACTGTCACCTGTTGTGTAGAGGTAAAGATGCCTACACCGGACATACGAATCAAAGTGTAGTAACAAACATTGTAATTGGTTGTTTGTTTGTTTGTTGTTAAACGCCGCACTCAGCAATATTACAGCTATATAACGGCGATCTGTAAATAATCGAGTCTGGACCAGACAATTCAGTGATTGATATCATGAGCATCGATCCCTCAATTGGGATCGATGACATGCATCAACCAAGTCAGCGAGCCTGACCACCCGATCCCGTTAGTCGCCTCTTACGACAAGCATAGTCGACCTTTTCTATCCCGGGTGTCCACGGGCCAAACATTGTAATGAAACTAATTTGAGTGAATGAGTGAGTGAGTGAGTGAGTGAGTTGGGTTTAACACCACTTTTAACAGTATTCCAGTTATATCACGGCAGATCAGCTTAATGTGGGAGGAAAGACCAAAGTGATGCAGCCTCAGACGTTTACCACTTCGGTGAAACCCACGGGCACGGGTATGGTTCTGACAAACCTAGAAACCGGGATTCGAACCCACAATCATAGGTTTCTTGTGTGTCCAAGGGACGCAACTGTGCACATAGAAGTGCGGCGCCTTAAACGACTGGGCTCCCCGTGCCCCCTATAGTGAATGAAGCATGGAGGTTTAAAGAAATGGTGACCGGATTCCGAAACTTTGACACTGATTAATTGTGACTCTCCGTTTACTTGGGCTTATATACGTATATCAACACTTAAAAAAGTTCATCTAGAGTTTACTTGAAAGGTTTTCCAGTTAAAATCAGATTACCATGGAAATTCCCTAGCCTCTATGTCTTATCTCTATGTGCAAGTAACCTGTTTCAGTGGTACACGAAGTAGAAACGTTTCTGATACACTGTAAAAGGGAAATGAACTGAAGAACAACGACATCGTGTGCATCAGATGTAATATGTCTCATGCAGTGAAACTGTTATATTACGTACACATCAGATGCATTAGACAGTCCAAATAGAAAAACACTTTCTGTTTAGAGAAAGCAGATAACTCAAGATCTCAGAATCTTGTTTATTTTAGAGTAACAATGTATCAAGGTCCATGATAAGCAGGACAGCTGGAGGTTCTTGAACACAGCCAACAGTTTACGGAAAATAAATTGAGATTTTAGTGAGTGAGAGAGTGAGTTGGGTGTAACGCCCCTTTGAACAGTATTCCAGTTATATCGCGGCGTGTCCGCTTAATGTGTAGCAAAGCACGAAGTGATGCAGGTCTTAGACGTTTACCACTTCGGTGAAACCCACGAACACGGGTATGGTGCAGACAAACCTAGAAACATAATCGGGGTGAACCGGGATTCGAACCCACAATCATAGGTTTCTGGTGTGCCTAAGGGACGCACCTCGCACAGCAAATCGCGGCGCCTTTGACGACTGGGCCAGTCGTGACCCAGTCACATATCCAGAACACACCAATGTATGGTAGTTTGGCGATGCACCTCACTGGACCAAGAACGAGTCTATTCTACAGTAATAATGTAAAAAAAAAGAGACGAAACATTTCATAATGATAAGAAATTAAGAGCGCCATGCCACCCTTGCTCTTTTGCCCAAGTCTTTTGATCAAGGTTACAACCTGTAAGGCCTCAGTAAAGCTTTCAAAATGTGTGGAGGGCATATCCAAATTTAAGGCATCAGTGACAAAAATGATGTCAAATGCAATTCCCTATTTTGACTTGTATTATATAGGCCCGTGTTTTTTCAGGTGAAAAGTTGACTTGTCTTTGCATGCGTTTGTGGCGGGTTCCATCGGTGGGGCAGGATACGCTCCCCTTTTCGCGAACACCTGGTATCATCACTTTTTGATAGTGATTCATAAACACATGCTCATGATATAGTCGGAATTGTACAATCGACTTTAAGCAGATATTTCGTATGAATATGGAAATGGTTCCTTCGCTTTTATTTCAGGCATACCTTGTCAAGATAAAGTTCATTTATGAATTCAGTGTTTAGAATGTGACCTAGGGGACAACAACATCATCAAAAATATTAACGTCTTATGACATTGGTAAAATGCAAACACGGACATAGCAATACCGATATTCATAAGAAACTACAATAGATGACCATTCCTTTGGGTCTTATAGTCTTATCTCAGTCACGTTGCCATAACTTGAAGCAAAAACTAAAGGTTAAATGTAAAAGTTTTGGAAAAGTGGGTGAATAGGTTTTCTAAATGCAAATTTGATAAGAACATTTTCAAAGCGCAGCAAGTCTTGGATTAAGTGGCATGTGAATAACGGTGACTGGTTTACCATAAACAAGAGGACGGAAATGCCATCGGCGCAATTTGGGTACCCATAATGGCAACAGCCACTACCCCTGGGGACAAGATGGTACATATGTCTGGGGTAAATATAGCTACATATGATTTAATTAGGAAAGCAACATTTAACATATGTGCTCTGCAAAACATAGACATTATATGTGTTTTTCTTTCCATCTCCAACTGAAGCCAAACGGATTTATGCCGAGTTGTATTCTGACTCCCGATGTGCTTACAGTATTCAAATATCAATGTTGATAGACATTAATAGACTTTCTGCGTAGTGTTGTCGATTTTCATTTCTACAGTGGGTGAGTTTACGACAGATCTTGATATCACGAACCTTAAGTAAATACAACGCTTCTAAGCAACCGTAGGTGTTACGGACCAATAGTTTTAGTTGACGGACCACAACAATTTGCTGTTTGAAAATAACTGTTCTGATGTTTTTATTTCAATTGGACTGGGTAGTACAAAAACACGTAACTCTGAGAATCATAAAGGTTAGATTAGACGCTAATAGTCAGTGATATCTTGAGCGGCAATTGCGTAGGATAATACCTGAACGTGTATTTCCTAAAACCAAGTGTTTTTTTAGATCATTTAGTGATGTATTGACATACATGTACGTGTTTTATGAACAGTTTTTGTTGCTTTGCAGTAAAAGCGACAGCTTCACTTCAGATGATACTCTGAAAAGATTGACAGTGTTAGACACGCCAACTCAGACGCGGCATTGGCACCGATGTCGCCGTAATCTCGTCAACAGAGCAACACGAGAACATAGCGTAGAAGTGCTGCGAGCGAGACGACAGGTGAGAAAAGGCAGGGGCGTGGTGTCGCAGCATGTTTTAGAATAGCGATTAACTTGATAAATGTTTTCCGAAAAGGCTTCTGTTACTTACTTTCAAACAAACGAGAAATACACGTATTGAAATGTAAGATCACACATTTATTACAAGAAAACATATTTTAAACAAATATGAAAACTAGAAGACCCATCAAATGTGCTACAGTACCGCAATTAGCATGAAAAAGGATTACCGCGTAGATTTTAAACACGTTAATCGTAACGAGAAGGGTAGGGATCAGGCAATCTTTCTTCGTACATGTCTGTAAACAACTGTGTTAAACTCCTATACTGGCTTCTTGACCATGTAGATGAATCATAGCAGGGTTATAACAATCTACAGGTTTAGGGTTACATAGATAAATCTACCTACAAGAATCTAGATTGTGTGTGTGTGTGTGTGTGTGTGTGTGTGTGTTTGTTTGTGAGAGAGAGAGAGTGTGTATTCGTGTGTATGTATGTCTGTGAGTGTGTGTACACGTGTGCATGTGTGTACGTGCGTTTATGCGTGTGTGTCTATGAGTTTGTATGTCAGTGAGTATGTATCTGTATGTATATGTATTTGCGTTTGTGCTTGTGAGTGTGAATGTGTGATTACGTGTGTGTATCTGTGAGTGTATGTACGTGTGTGTGCGTTTATGCGTGTGTATCTGCGAGTGTATGTACGTGTGTGTATGTGTGTGCGTGTGTGTATGTCTGAGTATGTATGCGTTTGTATGTGTGTTTGTGTGCGCGTGCGTGTGTATGTCTGTATGTATATATGTATGCGCGTGTATCTGTGTGCTTATGTGTATTAGTGTGTGTCTATGAGTGTCTGGGTACGTGTGTGTCTGTGTGTGTATGCGTGTGTCTTTGAGTGTGTGTGTGTGAGTGTGTGGGTATGTACGTGTGTGTATACGTGTGTTTGTGAGTGTGTAGGTATGTGTGTGTCCATGTGTGTGGATGCTGAACAGGATACACTGAAAGTGGTAGCTAAGCGTTGTTTCATCGCGCACAAATGCATTTATGTGATTCATTTTTGTTTTTAAGGGAACATTGTCAGCTGTGTCATCAAACATGATTTTAATACGACGTAGTACCAAAAAGTGGAATAATATCTTTCGTATTGGCATTTGTGGATGCACTATTATCAAGATATTCATCACATAGAAATGAAACAAACATCCTACATCCTTTTGTGTCTGGACACCGTTTTTATGTTCAAAAAGTTCACTAGCAACTACAGAGAGATCATCAATCTAAGAGGATTTATTTTGTGTTTCTTTTCCAATTCAACAAACTACTTTTTTCAAGAATATCAAAATTACATTGATAAAACAAAGTTTGAATGTCGATGAAGATCTATTTGTTATGTGTCTTAATTAAGTTTTCAGACAATACCAGTTGTACAATTTTCATAATTGATTGACAATATGTACATGTGAAGCCAGATCACAAAGTTCCGTTTTAATGAATGTAATGTTTTCTTTTTCAGGTTATCAAAATGCTAATAACAATTATTATAGTATTTCTCCTGTGTTGGGGGCCAAAGCTTATTATACGGATATTGCAAAGAAGGAATTCAGGAGCCTTGTGGTATCAGTCTGCCCTTATTACAAAGGTGAGTATGTTACTATGTAAGCGTGTCAATTCTTATGCTTAAGCTACTTTAGTTACGATGGTAGACTATGTTTTTTAACTGATTATTACTTAATTTTTCATTTTGCTAAACGTGATCACCGACAAAGATCGTACATGTCCAGGACCTATTTCAATACTGTTAAACTCGTTCGGGAAATTTGTGAGACGTTGACTTCAACAAAACAAAACAACGTAAGACCCAATAACCGGCTCGTAAATAGAATGGAATTAGAGTGTAAAATATCCCCTTGTTTTACGGAATTGACTTTTGTTTATTTATATCAGTATGTCAACAATATACATGACATTTGAAGGTTATATACAGCCGTCTTGTATGACATGTTTATTGCGTACAGTTGACTTTTCAAAAGAAGTTGTATAATCTTAACGAACAGACTCGATCGCCAAGGAATAATGAATAATTTATCAAACTTTTCGGCCTCGCTTTAGATAATAACGATCGCCTAAGCATAAATAACTTTTGTTGTAGATATGAAAAATGTTTTGATTTCATAATTTATATTATTATACTCCTCTGGAAAAGAAACACATTGGTGAGATTAATATACTTTTTATATGAAAGTTATAAACGCATAAAACGATATGTAATTAAAACACAAGTATAATATCGATGATGATGGAGTATGATATCATTTGGAATTAATAATGTCATTGTTTGAAGTGTCAAAACTCTGCAACGATCTAATGTATTACCCAAACATAACAAAACGATACGTAATATCACATGAGAACCACATGATCGATCTATGTGCATGTTCCGCATGTGACACATCATGACTTGACATATAAAAGAGTGGGATGATATCGGTTGCCAAACCGTTGCCTGCAACTCATGCTCTGGAATTACAGAACAACGTCGTCTGTCGATTGGAAGAAGAAGAATCGCAATCAGCAATCAGAGCATTCAGTGTGTTCCACAATCTCTCGACTTTGGTATTGTATTAACCACATGGGGCAACATCAGCAGCAATTCCATGATGCCATCAGTCCCGACAGTGCGGAACAGCCTTCGCGAGGCACGTTATGGAGCCAGATGGCCTGTCAGAGGTGTTATTTTGACGCAACAAGGTCGTCCACAGTACAAGACCATAATTTCTGTTTTGTGGGCTAATGAAGGCATTTATTCCAATCCCTATCTATATCCGTCCAGGGATGATTAGGCCCGTCACAGCCAGACAAAAATCATGAATTGTATTATGTAAATAGTCAAGACGTGTATTTCAAGGGAAGATATTATCCCTGTAATATGGTTCGACGATCAAAGCTAACGGTTCCATTCCGTAAGGTGGTGTTCTCGGGAGATATTAAGCACACATATTGTGCATGATATATATCGCTGTCAATCACATTGTCAATATGCCCTTTTACATTCATCAATCCATGCTTCAACAAGCTCCAAACGCTACCGGCTAGGTATTCTAATATCAAGCCTGTCATTTCTAAATGCCGAGATTGCAATTACCTCTAATATTGCATCAATGAGACAGGCGGAGAAAAAGTCAGAGGCATAAGAACACCGACCTGACGAATGTCCTGATGTGATCAAGAGGATAAGGGGTAACATTTTTAACTCGATGTTAGCATGGTAATCTTATTCATATGCGAATGTTGCACTGTCGGGGTAAGCGTGATGGACAGTCTTAAGTAATGCATGTAGGTAGGACGAGATACACTTCGACACAGTACAATGAAATGCACAGTATAATGTATGTTTCAGTGCACGTCATTTACTTCGCTGGAATAAGTGAAGTTTTCAAGCTCAGCGAATCCTCTTTGAGTGAGGATTTGGTCTAATATTTTGCTCATTATTTCTCTTTGTTGTAGCAATAGGGCCTAATAAGGGTTTTCTTCGTTCTTTGATGCTAGAAAATATGACCGCGCACTATCCCCATCCGCATCTGCAACAATGAAAGGGATCCGTTTTAGTAAAATAACATCATTTCCTTTGAACTTGGTTCTTATCTCTGTCCTTACAGGCTACTCGTTGATACATCTTGAAGCCATGATAACGTATTGCTGTAAAAAAGTTGGGACGTAACAAAGACATTCTGTCTTTCACACGATTATACTCAGTCTGACATAACATTGGACATGATTATGTAGGTGAACCCCGTGGTAGTGCTGGAGTGGGACTCCGAGATATCAGAATGGTTTGGTGTCAGTGAGTCCGCCGTTACCCGACTGATTGTGTGTCATTACTGATTTTCAGTGACCTATATATTTTCAGCACTTGTCAGCAATAATCGAGAATGATATATCATTGGCCATTAAAGTTTAATATTTTTTCATCCCTGAAAACATTGACCATCACTTTGTTCGCCCCGTCTCTGAATACATCACTCCCAACGGGGATACTGATGTAGAATTAGTCCGCGACTCTGTATGGCTTGTTCGGAAAGTCGACTAAAATGGAACTGTGACTGAGCTGATTGCGTGCTCATTTTCTCAGTCACTGGTTTGCCATGTTCAAACTCGAGTATTTGCAGGCCGTTTTAACAAAGCCAGAATATTGTCCTCTTACAAAAACTTCTCACATTTACGAATACATGCATCACGCGCCTGACAACGGCAACAGTCAATCATTGCATGTATCTAAACATTTAACATTCCTTTATAACCTTGGGAATGAATAGTTTTTCATACTTAGATCTATGCATGAACTCCCCACAATGCTGTATGACAAGAGGAGGGATGTTTTCAACTTACCAGTAGTCAACTTTTCCTTTGAGGCGAGCAATAAGTCAACAGCTCTAGCCTTGAGTGTCAACATTTCACAACGTTTTAGGTACAATACAGCATGCACTTCCTACACAGATTTCGAAGAGCGCCATAAGACTCGGTCCAGGGTTACAGCATCCAAGGCCTCAGTAAATGTTTCAAAATAGAACAGACATATAGAGGACACCATGCATTGACGCATCACTGACAATACTGGTGTCCAATGCAATTCCCTATTGTGACTTCATCACCAGCATCATTATTAGGGGCGGTCGCGTAGCCTAGTGGTTAAAGCGCCGAAGACCCGGGTTCGATTCCCGACATGGGTACGATGTGTGAAGCTGATTTCTGGTGTCCCCCGCCGTGATATTGCTGAAATAATGCTAAAAGCGGCGTTAAATCAAACTCACTAATTATTATTTATTATTATTTTTATTATTATTATTATTATTATTATTATAATATTTGTAGTATTACTGCCTGCCAACGCCGTCGGGATACGACAGTATACATTTGTATTGATTTATAGTCCGGGTCTCGTTCCGCAAAGTGCAACAACTATCGTACTATCGTAAGTACGAGTCTCAAACATAAACAACAACAGTCGAGGTACTACGATTGCTTTGTGGAACGAGGCCCAGGTTAGAGCCACCAGCCACATGCATGTACTACCTTTGGTCGGCCACTACGACATTTGTTGTCGAACCTTCCTGCCGTATAAGCCCTACAGGGGCAACCTAATGAATGTGTGACTAAACTGTTTGTGTGTCATCATGCCCCCGTGGCGTGGGGCCTTGATCATACTAATCATCACTGTGTTCGCAACCCTCGCATTAGCTGGAATATTGTAACAATTTACTTTACTGTTAAACAAGATTCTCAGTTACATGTGATGACGGTGTGAAAAACAGTCTGACACTGCATATCTACCTCTTATTTATCTGAGTACAAATACCAATGCTCTTATTTGTTGATGAACCCTTGCTCGCCATCTCTGTTACAAGGTTGACCTCAAGCCTAGGAATGGTACACGAAGCTTGTTTGCGCATAACCACGCGTCTCTTACATACAGTGGCAGCCATGACCTGTCTCGAATGCTTTGTTAAATGTCAATATTGAGCACCATTGATCGGGGGAAAGCTTGCTATTGGCTTCAAGCTGTAATTAAATTTCCTGCTGACTTGTTGATTTATTGCGCTTGAGATGAAAATTTAATTTTATTATCTGATGTTATCCTGCGGGGTATGGCGTGGCAGTTCCATCGGTCACTGCGCTAATGGCCATGCCAGTGGGTGGACGTCGTGGCAGATACCCTTTCCCTGACCTCTGCTGTCATGAACCTGGTCTAGGGGTTTGTTTACACTCACACATGTCTCTATATTTGCGTTGTCATGGTGATTGAAGTGCCTGTTGTTGTGAGCACACCGTTCTGTGATTAATGTGATTGTGATGAAGTGCTATACTGTGAGTAAATATCATGAAGTTATATTAATATTCCATTTCACAGATATACAATATTCTGTAAGAACATCGTCAACATTGTCATATTACTAATTCCTAGAAGGTTTTCTGTACACCAGAGCGCTTAAAATTCGCTTACTGTATCCGGCTGTGCGTCACAATGAGCTGTGTGACATCATTTTCGTGACGTGGAATGTAGACACTCAAGACGCTGCACTCAACCGTAGCCACTTGATATATTCGCTCAAACCTGAAGAGGTAATGACAGAATGGTTACATTAAGGCGGGTAAATCTATATGTCACCTACATGCTGTACATTGAAAAACACAGTAACAATGTTTATCTCCTAATAATTCGATTCCCGGTTCATCTTCATTACTGGTATACTTGATAACAAAGGGGGACACAGTTATCTAAGCCACCGCAATTGGCTGTGAAGAGTTGCGTCCTAAGGCGTTCCAGGAACCTCTGATCGCAGGTTCGAATACCAGATTCGCCGCGATTATGCTTCTAGGTTTGTAAGAAATATATTCGTGGTGTACGTCTAAGACTTGCATTACTCAGGACTTTCCTCCCATATGAAGCTGACACGCCGTGATATGACTGAAAAACTGTTCAAAGTAGCGTTAAACCCAACTCACTCGCACACACCTCCATACAACAAAACCGTCTTAGCAGCAGTCCGACCTTCACCACCTTCTTGCGATGGTCATAACGTGGTGATCGTTTCAGAACCTGGTCGCAGCTCTCTTGTAAAATGCATTGAATCGCGTGGCTAC